GTCCACGCCGACTCGAGCTCATAAGGTCTTGGTTCCAGTCTGCCTTGCCGCATTTGAACGTTTGCCATTTCCCTTGATTGATAATCAGCACTAGGTACATACGAATATGGGTGATGGTGATAGTGTGGGTATAAACATCCGTTAACCTCCTGGGGAGGAGTCACAAGTCTGATTGTCATGAAAATGGCGGTGTCAGTCACTTACCCTGATGATTAAGGAAGGCTGTGAACCCTTGAGGCGTATACTTTTCGTTGTTAGCATTGCAAAAGGAAGTTTCAACGCTACACTTACGCTTGACCATTTCTTGCAGAACCCTTGAGCAACAGCGAGCCACGCATCCGTGGAAGCGTCAATTTTCGCAACCACTGGGGTCACAGAATTTTTCACAAAGTCAGCCATTAGTACCTCGAAATGGTCCTGTTTCATCTGTACGTCCAGCAAGATCTTGAGCAAATGATCGCGCTTCATCATAGGTCTTGAACCTAAGCAAGATAGCTCCATCTCATGGAGAAGCACGCGGATAAAGACGCAGTGTCGCTGGAATTGTTCAACCCTGCTAGACTTTGCTGCAAGAGAGAAAATGTGGCTTCGAAGGGCGGGGATCTCGGTCATGGCTAGTGATAATCTGGGGAATTCGGCGGCGGCGTAGCCTCTGACGTGTTCCATGTTGACCTTACTGCTCACACAAAAAATGTGAAGGGGGTTTGGCTCTTTTGTTCTTCCGCGATACCAATCTTGTAGAGATTTGCGAATTTTTGTGTTACGTGTGGTTGCGAAGATCCTGGTCCGGCTATTGTTTTGTCAGTGGTTTGATTCGGGTAGCATGAACTCGACTGACCTATACTGAATGTATTTATTCAGGTACCTGGAATTGGTTAGTATCGTAGATCATTGGGATGAGTGATGCCTACTCGTAAAGTCCGCGCTTCTTCATGAGCTCCTCATAGAAGTCTGCGTTGACAGGAGTTTTGAGCGCCTTCGTAAGTTGCTGCATTTCGTCCTTCACATTTTGTTCCAGATGGTGGAGGGATTGAAGATGCTGTTGGTTTCTGGGATCAAGCTTCAGACGTCTACATTCGTCTTCATCGATTATATGGCGAATCGTCAGTTTGTTCGAAGAGTTGGCGAGTACGAGATTTACATCTGAGCGTGAGTACCAAGAAGAGCTTTCCATAACGCTTGCGTCGGACAACTTCCAAGGCAAACTTTTCGAGACCTGAGTCATATGTCGCTCTGTCCAGATTGGCAACAACAATGACATGATCGCATTGTCGTAGATATCGGTTCGCACAGTCGACCCGCAAGGGATCGCCATCCGTAACGCCTGGGAGATCCACCGCTACCGATCCTTTGGCGAGAATCAGGCTAGCAAAGTACACCCTGTGACCATAGATTAACGTGGTATCCCGATAAAATACAAGCGACCCATACCTTGCTTTGTTGAAAAAAGGCCAGACCGAGCATTCCAAGGAGGTGCCATCGATTTGTGGGTTATCGCAATGTTGGATGCCTCAGATCCCTTGTCCTGTCTGTCTATGATCGTCTGTTGCAGACCACAGATAATCTTCGTCGCGGTCTTCTCGGCTGCTGCGAAAGAAGTGTTGAACATAGGTAAGTCTGGCAACGGTTCGGAATGCGGATCATGCCTCTCTATGGCATCCGGATCTAGTTTAGCATAGCTCTTTTCGATCCTTGAGAAACATGCCGCTGTTTCAGTATCAATGTCGCCCGCTTCAAGAAGTTAGCAAGGTGTCGGTGGGCGTCGTTGAAACTTGCCTTTGCGCTTATTCGGCTGTGCAACGGCCAAAGCAGGACTGTAGTACATTGGAGGGGCGACCGGTGCTACTTGTATCGGGATGACGGGTGCTGGGAGGAAGGTGTCCTGAACCCATGCTGCTCATCCGGCTCGAACAAAGGGCTCTCGCTCATGGTGACTGGTGCACAGTGATGATAGAGTTGCCGATGGCAAAGAGCAGGTTGTTCAGTACAAGTCGGGCGGGGCGGACGGCGCGATATATATAGGGCCGCTGAGTTTCAGACCTGCAGGTAAGAGAAAGTACGAAGTGATAGCATGTACCTCTCCTTTGACCTTCACCACGAAACAGTCAGTGTGCTATCCATGTGGCGATGGCAATCAAGACCCAAACATCCATTCGATCGGACAGTTCAGCTTTGATAACTGGGCTTTGCGTTCTTGGGGAGTTCGGGCATTTATTATCAATCCAGTCCTAGCTCCAGTCACCCTAGGCTACGCTGTTTAGTAAATGGCTTGATAAGCCTCAGCGTCACTGAAAATCCTACACGTCGTAGGTTCTGACGCCAGAGCCTGATACTCTGTGTGAGTGGCTCTTCCGCGGGCTACAAAATGATTACAGTGTTGGCATACGCAAGGGTTGTCATGGTGTCGCAGAATGAAAAGGCTGCCAGGAAGCTTACACAAGAGAATTAGTATGGACGGCATAGAACAGAACGCCATGCTTGCGTCCAAGTGCGTTGGCTGATGGTGTAAGTAGGGCAGGGCCGTCATTGTTCGGTTGGTGCAATTGCAGTGGTGGTGCAAGTGAAGACATAATCCGACCAGACACATATTCGCAGCGCTCAGGTTGCTCGATAAACGCGAAAACAATGATTGTGAACGGCAGGCCATCACCATTGCACGAGTGGAAAGGTGGACCGCTGAGGTAGTGCTTAGCGCCGGACGACTCGGCCCGACGTGGATCCCTTGGCGAAGGCAGCTTTCAGAGTTCTCGAAGTTTCTAACCTTCTTCTCCTCCCACTATTTCAGCTTCGCTCAACATCACACTTTCGCGTCTCTCATTGTCGCTGCTCGGAAGAGTTTTGTTAGATCTCTCGCGATTGTCGCAATATACATCTGGTACGTATAGCAGCCCGTCTTCCCCTCTATTTGTATGATGAAACCACAGCTGGCACCAGTCCTAGAAGACTTGTACTCTTTTGCTGCGGACAACGCTTTGCGGGAGCATCGCTCCTTGTCCTGATCTCAAATAATCATCCTGAATGCATGTTTCTCCTCTACAGGACCAGGCTAATTCATGAATGTCAGACTGTGCACAAGCCCCGATACCCCGCGTGACACCATGGTCCTCCACAACCCAAACAACTGGCACTGGGTGAACAAGGATGTCAGCCCATGGGCGAAGGACTTCCTCACGAACGAGGTGCTCCAGATCTCCGCCGAAGAGGATGGCGTCAGCGTGAAGGTGGACAGCCTCATGAGCATGGATGGCGACGTGGACGTGAGCCAGCGCAAGGGTAAAGTCATCACAATATTCGACGTCAAGGTCAAGCTTGAATACAAAGGTACGTTCACCCTTGCACAGCGGGAACGTTCGGCGGCTGACCTGGTCGGCAGGCAAGAACCAGGAAGGCGAAGAGGCCAGCGGCACCATCACTGTCCCCGAAGTGGCTCACGACACGGAGGAAGACGAGTATGTCGTATGTTCCCTTCGCTCCCAGCTGTTGTCGCATCCTCGTAGATTTAAGACCGCAAACTGACAGTCACCAGTTTGAGATAGACATCTACTCGGAAGAGAAGAGCAAGCAACCCGTCAAAGACCTCGTCCGGTCAAAGATTGTGCCGCAGCTGCGAAAGAGCTTCGCTAAGCTCGGACCAGCCCTGGTTAATGAGCATGGCAAGGATATCCAGCACGCGCCTGGAGAGAATCCCTCGAGCAAGTTCGCACCGGCCAAGACCTACTCCAACTCTGGCATAAATAAGTCAGAAACGAAGTCGGTACCGTCTGCCACACAGAAAAGCGGTGGATCATTGGTCAATACTACCACGATCAATGAGAGCACCGAGTTCCGCACCACAGCTGAAGAGCTGTTCAAAACCTTCACCGAGCCTGACAGAATAGCTGCCTTCACTCGATCACCACCCAAGAACTGGACTGGTGCTAAGTCTGGAGGCACTTTCGAGCTGTTTGGCGGAAACGTCTCGGGTGAGTTCACAGAGCTTGAGAAGCCCACGCATATCGTCCAGAAATGGCGTCTCGCGCAGTGGCCTGCCGGTCACTATTCCACTCTATCCATCTGGTTCGACCAGAACGATGTTGACGCGGTTACTGTAATGCGAGTGGAGTGGAAGGGCGTACCCATCGGCCAAGAGGAGCCGACGAAGGGTAACTGGGGCGAGTACTACGTCCGGAGTATAAAGACCACATTTGGCTTTGGTACCGTGCTATAGCCAGGCGGTAACAGCTTTCGGCGAAGGCAGGAGTCAACGGCGTTTTAGAGCCAAGGAATGAATGTGACATGATGAATGAAGTGATGGATTTTCGATATAGAGGCTGCTTCGTAGCACAGCAAATTAAGCAATACCAATTTACGACTAATTTCAAGTCTTCTCACATCGTTGCAGCGTGACTTGGTGACTTGGACTCACCATCAATAATCTGTCAGAAGTTCTAGGTTTTCATCAGCAAACTTAACAGAAAACCGATCGTGTTCGAACACTGTTATCCGAATGGGACTGTGCGCGGTTACTTTTTCAATATAACGGTATATTTCCCAATTTTAATGTCTGGCTATAGTGCACCGGCCGTGGCGTCTTCCGCCGGCAGGGGACCAGCTGGCCGAGTTCTTTTGCTCAGGACTCCTCCAATCTATGACAGCATATGTGGGATGGGTCAATCAATTAGTTGAAGGACGGGATCCAGGTCATGTTGTTGACCGTAGTGTCAAATACCCAAGACTCGATTTTGGTACTCCAGCCCCACAGCAAACGTCTCCTCGACAAGCCGGTTTAATGTTTTTGTAAATAGCGAATAACTGTATCGTTGTTCCAACCTTCTCTGGGCAAACTGTACGATCGAAGAAAACCTCTAGTAAGGCCTTGTGTATATATTCTCTAAATTCACAGTAGAGGCTCTGACTGCTTAGGCGAAGCGTGTGTTTCAGGAGAGAAATGAGGACAAAGATACAGTTATTGTGTGTATAGAGTAGAAAAATGATCACGGAAGGTGAAAAAAATGAAATTTTGACCGTGCCAGGGGTCGAACCTGGAATCTCTTGATTACATAGTGATCGTAGTCAAGCGCCTTGCCATTGGGCCACACGGCCGTTGTGTTGCTGATGGCAAAACAGCTTGTTTTAAAATAGATGAGGAGGTGACATGTCGATGGAAGTGCAGGACTGTGGCAGAAGTATCTAACAAGCGACAATTTCAGATTTAGCGCGACGCTAGCTTAGCAAGCGCGTTAAAACGTGATTTTCTTCTTTCCTGTTGACACGAACCACAAAGTGGTGTTCCGTAAAGTAGTAGACAAAATATGGACTGCCGCCCAAAAGTAACACAGAATACACCTACCTGTCACTCTTCCATTTCTTTACTAAACCCCAATGACACACAATTTCGCGCCGGACGTTGACAATATTTAACGTTATAGAGACCAGTATTCTGTCGGAGTGCAGTATTATTAAGGCCTACAGCATCCGCCGGACCGCACCGCAGGACATTGACTCCCGATGCAGTGATCTCAGCACCAATAAGAAAATGCCTTACCGCAGCCATGTGATTACAGGCCTTCAGAATCCGCGAAGGCAACACAAGAAGTTGGTATTGCAAATGGAATGAAACAAATTCAATAAAAGTCTTCCAGCATCCACCATCGATACCGCGTTCTCTATATTGTAGAGATTCACTATGAGGTAGGGTGACTTAATGAAGTAGGGGCCGCGTTCTCTAAATATCGCCGAAGCTATCGAACAGAGGCTCTGGAGTCATAATTCGTCACACAGTGTTATTAAGTGATAGCTCTTCGGAATTATCAGTTGGTGGATTAGTGCTATCTGCATGGCTGTAGTCGTGGGAGTTCTGATCTTCTATCGAGATGGGGAAATGCTAGATCGGCCCGGCAATCTTACCTTGAACGCTTTTATATCTATACTATCAAAGATATTAGGAGCGGCATTGATTCTGCCTGTCTCTGAAGCGTTAGGTCAGTCTAAATGGCGTTAATTCCATGGTGAATCTAATATGATGTGGGACCTTGAGACATTTGATAATATTTCTTGAGGAGCTTGGGGTTTAATGTTGTTTCTAATTTGAACCAAGGGTAGGATATTGGCAGAAATTGGAGCGATGATTGCCTTGTTGTCTCTGGTTTTAGATTCGTTTTTCCAGCAGGTGATTGACTTCCCGGAACGATGTACAGCACAGTGAAACAGCTCAATCCACCGCTTGATCCGGTACAACTCTCGTTACGGAGCTGAACTTATGGCCGGACAAGAAATCAGTGTCAACGATCCAGAGCTGTCTGCTGTGGCGGGCAAATTCTTTTACCATAATGGGACGCAGCCAGTACGATTCGGGAACGGTACCCGGCCCGACATCCTACTGTCATGTCCTAAGAGCAATTGCACGTGGCCACGATACAAAATATTAGGCTTTTGCAGCGGGTATGTAGAGATCGACGCTCCAAGTTTGTTGACTAGGTGTTGTCGCAAGATGACAGTATATTGGACCATTGACTTGACCAGCGCAGATACCCGGGAAACGTATCCGAATGCAACTATGGGGGGTAATCTCTCAATTACACGAGCGAATCACGCATATTTATGTCAGGATACCTCCTTGGGGATGCGAACTCTACGATAGGGGAGGCTCCGCTGATGCATTCCTTACGTCTCACAAGCAACCCAGGCCGTATACCACTATATGGAAACGGGTCCATCAATTCCAAGCACTGCCGTAGTCCCTTGGTTGATGTAATGTTGATGTAAGAGTGACCAGTTCTCAAACTGGAAAACAGGCAGTTTATGTAGGAGAAAAACCGGACATGCAAGAGTGGTAGTGTCTTAGTGTGTCAAAACAATACAGTCCTGCCTGGTATTATAAGGGAATATACTAAGAAGACATGCTGGTCACATTAATTAAATACGACTGCTGGGCCTTTTCCATGGTTGACCTCCAACTTCGAATCAAAAACCCTCAACGGCACCGGAATTGACTAGCCCTACGATATTGTATTGGATCCTGGTGACAATGCCATTTCAACTTATGGGATTGGAAACATCACAGTGATGAACACTGCTTTCGTGTTTGACGACATATTTCCGTCAGTCAGTACCGTGCAAAACGAGACCGCGGACCCATTCCGAATGTGATACTTGCTTTCGAGATCGGAATGCATGTAAAGAGTGTCAATTCATATATATAGAAATAGAAGAATATTGGTCATAATATGAGGGAAACCGATCCATATCCGAGTAATCTCCGAATTAGATTTCCACTCCCAATCTTTTCGACCCCGTTCCCCAACAACAGCAACCTCATTGTCAGAAAACATGGAATCTGGACTGGTCTCTACAGAAGATGTGAAGCGCACCGTTATCTCACATCCGCTTGCGGATGCGACCCGAATATTGGGAGGTTGGGGCCGTGCCGCACACTCGGCGCTTATTTCTACATTGCAGATTGGTTACAGTTTTGACAGCGCCTATTGCTGGCTGTTGAGTCGCACCCTCTCAAAATAGTGTCAGCTTACAGCAAGATCTATGCGCTAAGGCTGACAGGGCAGAGTGCCCTTCTGGAAGAGCCGTAAAAGTTAGAAAACGCGCGCTGGAGCGACACTACACCATGGACACGTACATCTGGTAACAGTTGGGCATTGCAGCTCTTTGTTCTCGCTTCACTTTTAACTCTCCATAATAAACGAGGAGCAAACGTAACACGACAAAACCTGCAGACTCTTGGCTCTCATTGCTTTGACAGAATGGAAAACTCGATGTACCCTCAAGAGCATGCGGCTCCCTCTCGCCGTCCCGTCATCGAACACGCAACCACTTCGTTCTCTGATCCCACAACCATAAAGAAAAAGCTGGACATTCCACAAAGAATTGAAAGAAAATTCGCTCGCCTCAATGCATCCGAAAACCCTCTTCGTCGCTGGTCGCTCGAACTTGCATGCTGGACAGTCAGTGCTGTATGCATGGGTTCTACCATAGGCATCCTTGCCTATATGAAAGATCAACCATTATCACGATGCCCATCTGGCTTGACGGCTATCACAGTGTTGGCTAAGATCGCAGCGGCCACACTGATAATCCCAACCTCGGAAGCTATCGGTCAATTGAAGTGGAACTGGTTCCAAGGACCTGCGTCAAAAGAGATGATAGATCTCGACATCTTCGACAAGGCTTCCCGTGGCGGCCCATGGGGATCCATGATGTTATTATTGCGCACTAAAGGCAAATCTTTAGCAGCAGTGGGAGCGATCCTCACTATTCTAATGCTTGCAATTGACACCTTCTTCCAACAGGTAGTTGAGCTACCGGAAGTATGGGTACTGCAAGGTAAAGCCTTTGTACCTGTGGTGACTCAGCTCAAGCGCGAATCCCCACGTGCTTGGATGGCCGGAGTGGAAAACCTACAGGACGACTTATCGTTACGGGTTTTGCTGGATAAATTTTTCGTCGGCAACGGCTCGCGTCCCATGCCTGCAGGAGAAGGATTCCAAGCCGAAATACCAGTGTCTTGTTCCACTGGCAACTGTGCCTGGCCCATGTACCACACACTTGGCGTCTGCAGCGCATGTACAGACGTCTCCCCCCTTATTAGCTACGCGTGTCTCTCATCGAAGATGGACTGGGTACGCAACATAAGTCGCGATCCCACTGGATCTATGTACCCTCTTGGAACCATGTGCGGCTATTTCATCAACGCGACAAGCGATTCCCCGGTCATGATGACAGGTTACACCACTGGTCCAAACGCGACTTATGCCGGACAAGCCCTCGTCGCTCGCGGTCTCCCTCTCGTTGATAGTGTCACCAGGACTACATTATTCGGCGGGACTATTCACTTTGGGCACATACGCAACCCAATCGAAGACTTCATCATTGCCGGAGTCGAGGACATTGAAAGCGCTTACGCCAATTCTACACCCTTTGCTCAAGAATGCGTTCTTTCTTGGTGTGTCAAAGCAATCAAATCAACCTACTCTCTAGGGACCTACAAAGAGGAACTGGTCGAAAATTTCCTCAATTCCACAGCAGGACCGCATCCATGGCTGACTACATTGGCTGAAGACTCCGATGATGGCCCCGTCTATGAATACTTCTATGCCGAAAATGTTACCATCCGTGTACCATCTGAGCCTGAAGAAGTAAGCTATGGCCTGGACAACGCGACCATGCTACTCACTACCGCGACATTCGATAATGTGCTGCCTTTTTTCTCGACCGTAAATAATTCTTCGGATGTTGTTTCAACGAGATTGCGCTACTGGCGCGCGGGTGACACAGAGATGAGACCCGACATAAACCCATGGGTACCTTCCAACAACGTTACGCAGCACATTGAACGATTGGCTACAGCAGTGACCAACTTAATGCGATCATCTTCAGGGACCGAGTCAGCCTCTGGTGATGGCTATGCAAAAGAAGTCCACGTCCAGGTGCAATGGGCGTGGCTTACGTTCCCGCTATTACTCCTCGTCCTCAGTTTGTTGTTCCTTGTCCTCACTATTAGGCGGACTTCGATTGCAGGCGGTGATGCGGGTCTTTGGAAAAATTCCACGTTGCCGATCTTGATCTACAGCCTTCCCAAAGATGCACAACAGCTGTTGATAAGTGGAGGTGCTTTGGACAAACCCCAGGCCAAAAATACAAGAATAAAGTTTGCGACCAATACAGGATGGAGAGTTTCAGGTTATAGTTCTGCTCCTGTAACACCAGTCACAACACGCCATCCCCCACCGGGCTGGATCTAGAAGACGACCGACGCGTGGAACAAAAAATCCCCACATGGATGTCCTACTCCCTCAGTCCCACTCCGATTTCAACCCGTCGACCCCAACTGGCACCTCTCCCAAAGTCGTGATACGGAATCCTTGCCTTAGCCCTTCTGCTTCGTCGCTCACATCATAATCACTGATGGCAGTATGGGCAGTCACTCTGTTGTCCCACAGCGCCACTGTACGATCATCCCACTTCACTCTGGCTTGTATATCTTGGCTCTGGGCGATGTGCTAGTCATCTGTTAGCCTCCGATATATGCCATCACTCATTAGCTACAGAGGGAACTCACCTTGAAAAGAAGCTTCAGGATAGCATCTGAC